CCAGAGTCCTCTCTACCCGTTCTCTGCAACGGCTTCCCCTGCCCTCCCCTGCTTGTGGAAGCCTGGGCCTCCCTCTAACCCCTCATGGCAACTGCCAGCCCCTCTATGGGGTATTCGATGTCCACCCATTTGGCCTTCATCATATATTCCCTGAGTGCTGACTCTAAGCCCAGCCCTGTCCTGGATGATATTGGGAGCATGGTGGTAACAGAAGAACTTCAGGGAACTGTCAGTCCAATGCAGAGACTGCCCTGTCACCAGGCATTGACAGCCCAGAGGGGTCAGGGCCAGGGTCAGGGCCAGGATGGAGGAAAGAGGGCTGCAGAAGCCCAGAGGAGGCATCTGACCCAACCTGGGGTATCGAGGAAGGTGATAGCTAACCCGATGCCTGAAGGATAGGTAGAGAAGGAATTAACACCAGGTAGGGAAGAGGGAACAGCTTAGGCGGTGATGTGACAGTAAGAGAGGACAGGACATTAACTCATTCATTTCCTCAACAGTTATTTCCCTAAAGCCCTAATCTCTCCAGTTATGCGGGGAGGTGCTGAAGATAAGTTGTGACTTAGACATCCCTGGTTCCTGTCCTCCCGGCCCAATGGGGAGATGGGTTTGTTACCAGAGAGAATGATCAGGGAGGCCAGAGAGACTATGAGAGCCCAGAGGACTGCCTGGCACTGTCTGGGCAGTCAAGGGAGGCTTCCTGGGGGAGGAAACAGGCCAACCTACACGTAAGAATGAGCAGGAGCTACCTTGGTGGAGGGTAGAAGCAACAGGTTCAGGAAACCTGGAGCTTTCGAATAACTGAATGATTTTCACCAAAACTTAAGTCCATATCCATTCCAGAACTTCAGCTATCAGGGGAGTGGAGGCGGGCGTGAGGGACAGAGAGGGGTGGTAGACCATGGTGCAGAGAGGCTGGGCTGGGAGTGTCCGTGGCACCTGTGGGCCCCAGGCCGCTATCCCAGGCTCAGCACTGTCCTCCCGCAGGTCAAGGAGCTGGGCGTGGTCATGTACAACTGCAGCTGCCTGGCTCGAGACCTGACCAAGATCTTTGAGGCCTACTGGTTCCTGGGCCAGGCGGGCAGCTCCATCCCGTCAACCTGGCCCCGGCCCTATGACACCCGTTACAATCAAGACACACCAATGGAGATCTGCCTCAATGGAACCCCTGCTCTCGCCTACCTGGCGGTGAGTCTGGGGCAAGTGGGGCCTGCCATGCCCTGTCCCCATGCCGTCACTCCTGGCCTCCATCTGGCCGTGCCTGGTGATTGTTGGGGAGGGGGGCGTCCTGACCACTGGCCCTCACCCCTGCTCACTCTGCTTGATCAGGGACCTAGGCTATGTCCCAACCTCCCTAGGCCTCGGTGTCATCTAGAAGATGGGTGTCATAATATTTCCAACCTCTGGGGCTGCTAGTTGAGGTACCACTGAGTTCACGCACACCGAGCCCTTGGTGTAGCTCTGTTCTCCAATATGGCCACTGGCGGCTCTTTCCATTTACATTAATTAAAATGAAATGTGATCAACAGTTTAGTTCCTCAGTCACACTGGCCACATTCCAAGTGCTCAGCACACATGAGATGGCAGCGAGTGGCCACCGTCTTGGACATCCCTGGCTCTTGCCCGTGGCAGATTTCGAGCACTCCAGACAGCACATTTTTAGCTGTTCGTATTTTCGCTACTTGGGGTGGGCCACCCGGGTCCCTCTAGGTCCCCTGGAGCAAATCACCTGGCCAGGTCCCCAGAGCCATGGTGGAGGGCATGGCACAAAGGTGTGATTTGTGATTTCGTGGAGGCTGAGGATGCAGTGAGAGCCACAGGACGTGGCTCGCAAAGAGCTGTCCGTACGGGGGGTCCACTGTGACGATGCCCTGGCAGAGCACACGTCTTGACTGTCCCCTCACCTCCAGAGTGCACCCCCACCGCTGTGTCCAAGTGGCCGCACCCAAGACCTGAAGGCTCTACTCAACGTGGTGGACAACGCCCGGAGTTTCATCTACATCGCGGTCATGAACTACCTGCCCACTATGGAGTTCTCCCACCCGCGCAGGTATGGCCGGGCGTGTGGACAGGGAGGGAGTGATGGGGCTCAGAAAGCTGGCAAGGGGGCAGATAGGAGGGAAGCCACAGAGAGAAGGCAGAGGGGACTGGGAGGTGACAGCGAGAAGGGATCTGGGTGCTTGAGACAGGAGACAGAGGGATTATGGGGAGGTGGCGATGAGGTTTGGATGAGAATATTGGGGGTGGGGGGCTGGAAACTGAGACCGGGTTGCGTGGTATGGGGTTTGGGAGGTAGGAAGCATGGGCCGGAAACAGGATAAGGGGCTCGGGGGGTGGGGCTAAAAGTATCTGGGTTTAGGGCAGCAGGGTTGGGGGTTTGTGACCTGGGATTAGAAGGAGGGTGACTGGGCAGTCGGGGGACAGCAGATAAGACGATGGAGGACTGGGTTTTGGTGAATGGTAGCCAGGAACAGGAGATGGGGGGTGTGGGATTCAAGGAGGCAGGAGCAGGGCCGGGAGCTGGCGATGGGGTGGTCCTCCCAGAAGCTAAAGCAGGCCCCAGGCTCGGTTCCCCAAAGCTGAGGGCGAAGTCTGTGGATAAAGCGCCCTGCACCCACCCCCTGCCCCCAGGTTCTGGCCGGCCATTGACGACGGGCTGCGACGGGCCGCCTACGAGCGGGGCGTCAAGGTGCGCCTGCTCGTCAGCTGCTGGGGACACTCGGAGCCATCCATGCGCGCCTTCCTGCTCTCCCTGGCTTCCCTGCGCGACAACCACACCCACTCTGACATCCAGGTGGTAAGCACCCGCCCCGTGCCACCCGTTAGCCCCTGCTCGGGGCAGTGCTGGGGCACAGCCTGCCTGCGGCTCATGTGTCATCCGACAAGGGATGTTGGGGAAACCACGGGCCAGGATGGGGGCCCAGGCAGAGGGGTCGGGTGGGATGGGGGTGCCCCGGCCTGAGGGGCCGAGGAAGACTTTCTGGGAAAGGGTACATCTGAGATGAGACCTCAGGAGTGAATCGGAGCCATTCTAGAAGGACAGATTGCACACCAGACGACTAGAGCCTGCGCTTACTGGGTACCCCTCCGCTGGGCTCTGTTCTGACCCCTGAGGGTTCTGTGGGAAGCCGCGGAGTCCCCAGCCCCGCAGACCTGGCTCCCCACCCACTCCCTGGCGCCGGGGCTCCTCTGACTACCCCTGCACCTCACGCTCCTTCCCGTGTCCCACTCCCCACCAGAAACTCTTTGTGGTCCCCGCGGATGAGACCCAGGCTCGGATCCCGTATGCCCGCGTCAACCACAACAAGTACATGGTGACCGAACGCGCGACCTACATTGGTGAGAGTCCTGAGCACCGCTCGGGGGACAGACGGGGGCTCCGGGTACCAGGGCCTGGCCACCCCATGGAGCCCTTACCGTCCACCCCTCCTCCACAGGGACCTCCAACTGGTCTGGCAACTACTTCACCGAGACGGCGGGCACCTCGCTGCTGGTGACGCAGAACGGGCGCGGCGGCCTGCGCAGCCAGCTGGAGGCTGTTTTCCTGAGGGACTGGGACTCCCCTTACAGCCATGACCTCGACACCTCGGCCGACAGCGTGGGCAACGCCTGTCGCCTGCTCTGAGGCCCGGTCCGGCGGACAGGCCGAGGCCTGCTAGGCCCCCGTGGACCCTAACGCTCTGGGTCCTGGTCCCTGTCCCCGTGCCCCCGCTTCTGTCTGCCCCTTCGTGGCTCCACAGGCTCTCCCCTGCTCTCCCGCCTCTACCTCTGCCCCCACCGGCCTGACGCTGCGGCCCCGGGCCCAGCAGAGCTGGGGGAGGGATCAGCCCCCGAAGAAGTAGGGGGGTGCATGTTGGGCCCGGCCCCCTGGCCCACCCCCCTTTCCAAGGGCAAAGAGGGCCCAAGGTTACAATAAGTAAATACCTTGTCTGTACAGCCTGTGCCTGAGTGGTGTGAGATGGGGTGACAGGGCTAGGGGACAGCTCAGTGTGCAGAGCTCTCAGAATGCAACCCCTGTGGACTGGCGTGTGCTAATAAGTCCTCGGTGTGTGACCAAGATGGTTTGGCATGTACTGAGCCCTCAGCATGTGACCGGTGTGGGCTGGTGTGTGCTCGGTCCTCAGTGTGCAGTGCACGTGGGCTAGCGTGTACTGAGCATGCAGCGTGAGACTGTGTGGCCTGGCATGTAGCCAGCATCGAGTAGCATGTGCTGCACACTAAGCATGATCCCAGGTAGGTTAGCATGGACTGAACCATGGCCCTATCCCTAGGGTGGCCTAGCATGTCTGAACACTGGTACATACACCAAGCGTGAATTCGTGCCTGCCAAGTGAATTTACATGGAGCATGTCCCAAGTATAGACGAGTGCATGCCAAGCCCATAACATGTAGGAAGGGCAGGCCAACAGGCAATAAGACCCCAGCATTTGGCAAGCTCAGATTAACACATGCTGAACACGCAGAATGTTCTAAGAGTGAACTCTCAATGTGCCAAGCACTTAGCACATTTAGGAGATGAGCCGTTCTGCCAAGCACAGGCTTTGCCTCCTAGTGTGATAGCAGCCCAGCCTCCAGCCTGGGCCAGTTGCCAACTGGGTGCAGCACCCCAGAGCAAGGCCCTGGGTGCCAGCCTGGAACCCCACTCCAGGGCCAGTCCAAGCCTCCAGCAGTGAGAACAGTCTTGAAGAAGGACTGTTGAACAGTTCTTTATTGAAATAGAGGCATCAGGGCCGGGGCGGGCTCAGGGCCAGTGGGGTGCAGTCCCCTTCCTGCTGTCCGTCCGGCTGAGGGGCCACGTGCCAGACCCCAGGGCCCTCCTACGTTCGGGGTGTATGTGCAGCCTTGTGCTGCAGGCATGGGGAGCGGAATTTCTGGATAACTATCTTTCTGTAAGAATAATCTGTGGGTTCAGGGGATGGCTCTGATGAGCAGTTCAGGTTGGAAGGGGACGGCAGCCCGGCTGGCACAGCCCCCAGCGAGAGGCAGGGGTGGGCTCGCCATCAGTGGTGCCCGCCAACGTGCTGCAGGAAGCTGGTGGTCCGGGACGGACCGTGCGGGTGTGAGTGGCGGGGTGCGAGTCCCTGAGCCCGTGGCCCCCTGACACCCTCCAGGGTCCATTCTGGCTCGCTCAGCCATTCTCCGGGACAGCTGCCGGAGTCGAAGAGCTCAGGGTCTGGCCTCTGTGGGGGAGAAGAGAGGGGTGTCAGCCGAGCCTGTCACTCTTCCTGCAGTGGGTGAGCTTGTGCCAGGGTCTTATCCGGCGCCGGGCCTTTATCGCTTCTGGGTGGATTACTGTGTCCTGCATTTTTGTCACGGCCTGAAGGTACATGAACGTGTGCTAAGCCTATCATATCCTTAGGATGTTAGTGTGTGCTGAGTCTTATTAAATCTTATATCCTGCGTACGGGTTAGTGTGTGCTGAGCCTTAGACCCTGATATGGGTTAGTGTGTGCTGAGCTTTTTCAAATTTTTTTTTTTTTTTTTTT